ATTTGAGACACGTAAACATAATTTCAGATCGAAGGTTAAAGATTGGAAATCGTGCTTAAGCTCCATTTGCTACTCAGTTGAACTCACATCTGAGGCAAAGTGGAAGTAGATCCATGAAAATTTCCCGGCGGTGCTTCTCAGGCTGTATTTCCCGGAAGCTTTTTTAAACCAAAACCCAAAGGCATCAGTCATTTGGAGGGACATTTCCTAACATTCCCTACAATGATATTTGAGCTAACCTCTGTCTGTAGTCGCAGTTAGTCTACCAGAAACTGGTCTATTCTCTTGCTCTTCCTTAAAACTTTCCATTTGAACTAGTGGGATAACAGCGCAACAAAAGGCATTTAAAATCCATTTTTTCAAAATTTTGTTCCTTTGATTTGATGAGACACAGCGACAGGCGATCTAAGTAATCCGTAAATTATCATAAACAAATTAAATAAGTTCGTGATGTGTCAGATTCTAAGCTGAAAGAACAGTAAAGACCCTGCGGCTCACTGGCCCACTCCAAAACTCCAAGGGGGAATGCAAGACACCTCACTCAGCCAACGAGTTGTTGCTATGAATGACTAAAGAGAAGAGGGAGCGCACACCACAGAACCCTTTCCAGTCAATCTCAGCGCCATTTACGAGTACACGTGTTTGTGTTGGTATGCGCGAGCCACATTTATATTTGCCAAGTAAATATGGCGAAATTAAATAAATTGAAACAAGATTACGCAATGTGAGGAGAGAGGACGAGCCCATATTACGCACTCAAGATGAACGCGCCTTGGCTGTCCTTGGCTGCTGCATATCGGTTACTTGGCTGATCACATTTTGCGTGCCGCTGGGAGTCTGACAGCGCCCAGCACAACACAGTGTCATCACCGGTGGCGCGGCGGTGGCGGCTCAAGTGATGAAATTGTAAACAAACCCCGCTGGGACTGAGGCCTAACGAAAAGTTGTGTGGAACGCCACAAGTAAAGTAAGTGAATTGCGGCAGGTGAAGGAGGAGGGTATTTTGCGAAAAAAGTCGCCTGTGTGCTCGAAAGTAATTTGTTTGCGGCGCAACATGACAAGCTATGCGGTGGTGACACTCTGACAGCCAACTCGCAGACTTTGTGAGGTGGTGGTCACTGGCTGTTCGTGTACAACAGCCTAGTTGAGGAGGAAAGTTGTTGTTATTGCTTACGTCCCTCTTGTGGACGGTGGTTATTTAAATCACAGCAGTCGCTGTCAAGCAGATTACGAACCTCTGCTGCTGATTACGCACCAACCTCACCGCAGCGCCAATCTGCGCTTACCTCAAAGGCCGTTCGAAATGCCTGACGGCTGATATGAGCCACACACGTTGGATGATGGACAACTGGGCAACCAAAAGGGTACGTTGCACCTTGTGGGCTCTCGGTCTGTCTTGAAATTTTACACGAAACTTAATTCCGCTGTCAAGTGAAAGGGTGAGTTATGAGGCGAGAGTGACTTGTTTTACATTATTGCTTTTGTAATCATATTTAATTACAATGAATAGGGTAATTGTTGTTGTTGTAGTGGCATAATGATATGCTCTTAACTGCGTGCAAAATTTGTATCTCATTATTTACCCTCAATTAGATGAAATGTGCTGCTGCTACCCCTCCACCTCGCGCCTCGGAAGGTCGGTTTTTCGTTGTAAATATGTATCGGCTGTTGTTGTAAAATAAATTATGCTTGCAATTTTTGTAGAAAACACGAATTACATTATCCTTCCCATTCCCAGTTGTTGTTGTTGTTGTTTCTATTTAAATATTTTGTGCCTGCTGTCATTTAATTCCAGTGTTTACCGCCTTTGTGGGTTTGTTGTATAGCCGACACGTGGCCGGACGTCGTTCTCCCACAAAGGTCGTCGATTGCTCCTTTGCCATTCTGGCTCCCATCCTTTCAGTTGCTCTCGCTGGTAAGCATGATGTTATCCTACTATTTTGCTTCAAATTGACTGCGTCAAGTTGATCACACATATTGTTGAGAGTACATGGGGGGTGGGGGAGCTGGAATAGGTACAGTGTTCTTACCTCGAAGCGTATGGGTTGCTAATTCGATGTAGAAGATTCCAACGATTCTTCACCACGAGGAAAGTTCATTTGAAAGTTCCTTGGATGTAGTTAAGACCTCGATACAAAGTGAAGCAAAATAAATTGTATGGACTCGTCGGTCGACTTTGATTGCATAAAGGCCAGTTGGATTGTAAAGAGAAACTGAAGCATCTTCACATTGAAGAAGCCCTACTCTGGTTTCTTACAGTTTCGGGTCTTCTCACCTGGACCCTTTTCCTTATAAGTTGCACAGGTTGTGTGCAGTTATGATTCAAGAAACTCCTTATCTCTCGATAGTAGAAATACTTATTTGGGCCAAAGTTGAAATGGGAGTTAGTCACAACAACAACCGAGTATACAAATGTTAAGCTCTAGATTTGGGTGTAGTTTGGTTCATTAAAGATATGGGAACAAGACACTAGATTCTTATTCCTGCAAAGGCAGTGCGATCAAGAAGGGAGTGTCTCGTCTTCAATACAGCTTCTGCAATATTTCAAAGAGCCAGAAGCGTTTTGAGTATGAGCACATAAGCTCCATCGGTATTAGAAGATCACCTGAACCACCTGAACCACCAGAAGCATTCCCATTCGCATCCCCTCCCGGTGATATCAACTCAAGTGTACCGATTCTTACACATATCAACCTCATGGGCAGCGGTGAACCATTCTTTAATAAGCTTTGAACGCAACAAAGGCAGTCGCCTTGATTTTGAATTGTAGCAGAGCAGAGTAATCTCACAAAGGCAATTGATCAGAATATTTTTATATTTTTTTACCAATTCTTCGAGTTATCTTCGCCCACCGTGCTTCCTGTGCATCACTCCGCTTTGTTTTGGTTGTGATTTGTGCGCGTGAAAGCGTGTAAAGTGCATGTAATCATGCTCGGCAACAAATTACGAAAGCTAACAGCATCAATAACAACAGCTACAACAACATCAACAAAAATAGTTATAAAATTGCCATTAAGCGTTTAATAGTTGCGTGTCGGCAAGTTCGACTTACAAGCATCAATAACCGCCGGCAGCCGACCAACCGGCCGGCCGACCACGCATCCAATCAAACTGTTTAGCTGCCGCTGAAGGATATCTTTCGCGTCCTTTGAGTGCGTCGCTTGTTGCCGCCTTGCAGAAGGTGGTGGTGGTGGTGGCTTTGTTGTTTCTGTTGTTTGTGCTTGTGGTTTGGGTGACGCGTGTCACTTGGCTCATCATTCATCCAAACGCCAAGAGTCCGCCTCATTGAAATGCACATTCTGGTCGCATTCTACACAATTTTCCCATGTGTTCAACCTCCTCTGCGAGATTTTCCCCTCTAGCCCCTCACTACCACTCCATTGTTTGTGCTTTAAATTATGAGCAAATTTTAAAATGATTGCGCGATAAGAGTGTCTATCAGACGGTACGAAGTGCAATCTGTGTACTGCCGTATTAGGCGTATTAGTTACCCTTCGCAATTGCGGTTGCATTGACTTGTGCGTCGCGATCAGATTGGAAGGAAGAGGAAATTTCAAAGTGTGACGGAACAAAGTATATCTTAAGCCATAGAAAACGTGTTTGACATGAACGATTAGTTTGAGGCTTCCGAATAAAAAAGGGAGTGCAACAGGAAACAATCAGCCTTTGGTTTGAAATCTATGAGAAAACAGGCTCTTGGAGGATGAAACCAGATGGGCTCACTCAGTACCTCAAGGTTTTTAGAAGGGATCCAAATAATTTTTACCAAAATGATCGGAGTGAAAAGTTTTACCATTCAAATTATTTCAAAGAAAGGGGCCGCCATAGCTAAAGCTGACTGACGACGTACCTGTGTATGCCAGGGATCCCATTACACTACCATGTCCCCTCTAAACCCCTACCTGCTCTTAATAAAGTTATTTACTTCCAAAAGTTTTATATGTGCCACCTCCGAGCCAAAACCAATAGTTGCAAATCTCTTCACATAAAAAGCCTTGCATCCGCTTGGAAGATGCTCTACAGTTTCCTATTCCTGTACTCGTATGGTAAGCCTAATCTGATGGAGTGTCTGCCAAAAAGGCAGTGCCCTGTTGGCTCTACTGTGAGATGATCTCCTTGAAACCTCATATTGTTTAAGTCATGCTCTTCAAAAATCGGTCAACATATGACCACAACGCAAAGGTTTAAGCAAACATACAGACCAAAGAACGCACCAGGCAGTAAGCATAGCGGTTGTAATGGCCTATCTTCAAATTATTAAAGGATTCTCGGAGCTCTAAATGCGACAGTTTTGTTAATCTACGACGAAAACTTTGTTCAAAAAATCGCCGTCCATTGCTTGCGATGTATCTACGGCTTTGGGAACGGCCGATGGGCTTTATATGGATGTAAGTTTAAGTAAAAGGGCAAAATACGCCCAAATATGCCGTCAGAAAGTCACAGCTCAGATCGTTTTTTCTAGATTTCTTCGTTAAATTTCAATAGTTGATTCAAAGGGGAAATTCAAATTAGTAATGACGGTGTCCTGTGCCCTAAAAGTAGTCTACACCATTCTTCTTTTGGTGAAAATTGGATTTGGATGTCGATCATGAGTGCTCGTTTTGTTTCTTTCAAGATCGCTTGCGAGCTATATTTGCGTAATTAACAATCCATTTTGTAACAGTGAACCGAAAATTTCAACAAAGTAAAGAGTAGGACAGTAAAAGTCGATTAGCGATAATCACTTACGCTGTCTACCCGATTGGCACAAGAAAAATTACTACATAATATTATATACTAAAACCGATTAAGTCAACATTCTCAGAGCTACAGTGTAGACCAAAGACAACAAATGCAGAGCGCATGTAGGCGCAAAAGACTCTCCGACTTCTCTTTTATCAAAATTACCAATTCGTTTGTTTACACTTCCAGTGCTCAGAAAGCTACAAAGTAGACTATTGAAATGCTTAAGTTGTTGCAATAAAATTGTTTATTATTCGTAAGTAGACGTTTGACTCTCCACAGTTTGTGCACATATTTACCGCTACTCGCACTAAATTTTCAGCTCTCAGTTGGCAATCGACGCGCTTTGAGGTTAGACATGATGAACCGGTTCATCTGCATTGTTTCGACGATATTCGTTTTGGCTATAATTTTGGTGACAACAAATACAATATCCACACAATCTTACCAAGTTAATATACCCGGTCAAGGTGCGGTGACCGGTAGCGTCGATCAAACTCTGTGGACCAAACAGAAATTCTACTCATTTCGTGGTATTCCATATGCCGAGTCTCCAAGCGGTCCTTTGCGTTTTAAGGTATGTTTTGGAGGTGAACTGTTTTGGTGTTTTGTGAAAATGAAGTGAAATATTGTAAGAAACAAAGAAAGGACTCCGGAAGTGCAAGAAATTCGTTCCGAAATATCGGTCAGCCGGAGTATATACCATTTGCAGTTGGACAAAAACAAAATAAAGGAGGCTCGTTCAAAGTTCTTTTTTGAAGTTGCCTACGTCATTCCACGCAATCGCTCAACTTTTTGTTGTCACATATTTTTCCACCCTGTCTCTCTCTAACCTTTTCTCTCTTATCGCTCGTAGTTTTTATTAAGTGATAAGAACTCAGAGACCCATAAAATTAAACAATGTCGCTGTTTTGCTGCTCACGCAATATGAATGTAAACATTTAGACCTCTAGCTGTTGTTTTATGTCAATTACGTTAGGTTTTAGCTGATAAAAATCACATTCGCAAAGTCCAATAAGCGCATATTGATCACGTGTATGACGTATCAATGTACAGCGGGCAATCAACGAATGCTCAGTTGTTAGTTGGGTTGGACGAGCCGAACAGATGAGCTTAAGCCATTTAGTAGCCTCATTGTGCGGCCTTGTGTATCCCAACTCTGATTAACTATTTGGTTTTCTCCGTGAAGCTGAAGCTATGAGCACCGCTGTGGACTCAGCCGATTCCAACTTAATTCATACCTAAAAGTAGATGCTCTGTTAATATGTCTACAAATATACAAAGTACTCTTTTGCAAGGTGCAGCTGGTTGATCTGTGTGACAAGCAAGCCCTCCCACACTCCCACTGTGTCCAGTGTAAAAGTTTCTTCAGGCTGACTTAGAATTTGTCAAAAAAATATTTGTGGTCCTACATTGTCCGAACAAATACGGACTCATATTCATATTGCTGATCGCAGCTCCATCCCTCCACTTACCCAGTTTCCGCTGAATCTTCCCGAAGTGGATCAGAAGCCGAACACATATGCCAGTTTTGCTTTGGTTACAGGAATTTTAACAAACCTTCGACTCTTTTTTGCTCATCCTGCAGGCACCAAGAAGTCGCTCACCATGGCAAGGAGCATACGATGCCCGCCACTTTGGCAAACGTTGTCCAGTAATAACAACAGTAGCGAAACTAAGTGACGAACAACTGAAGGAAGATCTGGAGGACTGTCTGAACTTGAGCGTCTATACGAAACGCGTAAGTAATCTCATCTCATCTTCAATATATATACACTCTTTGGCTATTCCCTAAATTATCTTCGGCAGCTCAAAGCCAAACAACCGGTGATGTTTTATATTTATGGCGGTGGCTTTTACAATGGCTCCGCCGCCGATCATCCACCACATCATTTACTAGAGAAGGATATTGTGTTGGTTGTGGCACAATATCGCATTGGGGCACTCGGTTGGCTGACGACACTCACTGAAGAAATGCCCGGCAATGTGCCTGTAATGGATCTTATGCTCGCCTTGAATTGGGTGCAAGAGTACATAAAAGTGTTCGGTGGTGATCCCAGCAGAGTGACGATTTTCGGACAAAGTGCTGGCGCTGCAATGTCGGGCGCTTTATTGGTGAGTCCTAAAACGCCGGAGCGTTATTTCAATCGTTCCATTGTGCAATCGGGCGCTATAGTGGCCCCGTGGGCGGTGAATCGCAAGCCTTTGCAGCAGGTTAAGCTCGTATGTGAGGCCCTGAAATGCGCTGACTGCGGAGACAAGTTGAGTCAATATGAGTGTTTGCGAGAGGTAACTGTACTGGAGCTATTGCGTGTCACGACGGATGTGAGTTGAAAATAATTTTTTTTTTAATGATAATAGATAATATTTTTATTTTAAATACTCAAGAAAAGCTTTAGCCTTGTAATTGGTGATGTTTTTGGCGTGCTGCCAGATGAGCCAAGCGTGCTGTTGGAAAGCTTAGAGCGCACAGTGCCCATAATGACCGGATTCACAAAACACGATGGCTCTTTTGTGTTGGCAAGTGAGTTTTGATTTCCTAATAATAAAAGATATAATATTTAAAATTTCTTCTATTTTCGTTGAAACCTGTAGCACTTTACGATACGATCATAGCGCATTACGGCAGCTTATCGAAATTTACCGTACGCCAGTTGGCAAATGTGCTCATCGATTTGGGCAAAGATAGCACAGGTTTGTCGAACAATTTGCTTTTGCACACGCTCTTCAAGCCCGAGATTTTGGATAGCTATAACCACAGTGCTGCTTGGCCGGCGTATTTCGATGTGAGCCACGTCTTATTATCATCTTTGATCAATTTCTATAACACTTTCCACCACAGATTGCCAATATTATATTTATGAAATCGCCGGTAATAAGTTACGCAAGTGGGCTGCAACGCAAGATGCTCCACCCAGTCTTCTTATACTCCTTCGATTATGCTGGCGAACACACACGCTTCGGTTATGAATTCGGCAACTCACATTACCCCTTCCAGGGTGGTGTACATCACTCGAACGATAACATTTACTTATTTGCCACACACAAACTCAACTCCAACGACACGTTAATGGCAAAGAAAATGGTGGATCTGTGGTATTCCTTTGCAGTTGAGGGTGTTCCAAGTGTGCGTGAGCAAGCTGGGTTGACTGTGAAAGCTATGGAGAGTATGTAGTGTCAGAATTTCCCAATTAATTTGCATAACATTTCATAATAATTTTCGTTTCGTTTTTCCAGCGGAATCTGGACCTTACTTTCACATCAATGACCAATTGAGCTTGGGAAGTGACATATTAACGGAGCTTACAGCAACAGTCGACGATCCTGAGAATTATAAATTGATTAAAGTGTCGCCGCAGACATCACCGAATTAGTAAAGTTGCTTAGAAGAATAGAAATTGCATTTAGAATTGTTGGTTGTGTTGTTAGTAAAGTTTAGTATTTGAAAATAAGACAAAATTTGTTGTAGCTCGTTAGTTTTACGAATGGTACTTGACATTAAAGTTAAATAAATAATTTACGTTTCACGTCACACAAACCTTCCCGAATTGACATTTGCCTTGCTGGCATTGCCAATTATTATTGGCGTTGCCAATCGCTGTATTCGTCAAGTAGCTGCAAGGCCATACACATTAGAAAATTATGAAGTGCAAATTAAATTTAATTATTGTACAGTGTTTTTTCCAAATTTACTTTTGACGTCATTCTGGCACTGTTGAAAACTTATATCCTAACACAAAAATTAAGTTTTTCACTCAAAAATACCGATGAAAACACTTTGCTCTGTAATTCATTTAGTCAAATTGCCATAATTAGCTGAAAATAGCACATCCAGCTTTTAGCTGCTAATTGATGCTTTTCAAAATTAACTAGTCTCTCCAAACACTCACTCGCTGTGCCAAAAAAACATTTTAAATTCAACTTAAGCTTTAACCACAAATGTCCAAAAGTTGTTTGCCAACACTATATTTTCAAAACCAACAGCTAACCAATTCTATTTACATACGGACGTACAAACTTACATACATACATACGTGCAATCACCACAGAAAAATGAAGTGTCTTGCTTATTTTACCTTGTTGCTCTTTCTAAAAGCACAACTTTCTTACCTCCTTCCCTTCCTTCTCGTAATTTCCATTTGTCAACAGTGTACGAGAAAATTACGACACCACAATGTAAGCAAATTAACTAAATCATTCTTGAAATTGGCAGCGAGTGAAATGGAGCAGCAATAAGGAAGATTGTTAAATATACACGTATATAAACACTCATGTGCATGTGTGTGTGCATATTAGACAATGCCAGTGTGTGTGAGTTTTCTTTTGCCTCCAAAAATGTGTTATTGTACTTTTTGTTTTACTTGCGCTTTGTGGCTTTCCTGTTGTGGCGTGGACTTTCGACAATTTTATCTTTTAACTGTGAATTAGTAATTAAAAAACAGCGGTTGGAAGGGAGAGGGATGAAGAGAGATTTTAAATTTTATCCATAATTATATTTTTACCCTCCGCAGAAATGCTCTTCAATTAAGTGAGAATCCATTTATCACAGAAAGGTTCCTCCTCCACCTAGTCTTTCCAACGGAGTGGAGGTCTTCCTCTTTCTCTACTACTCTACTTCCACCGACGAATACTGAATCGGAAACTATTAAAGCTGGAGTATTTTTACGCGTATCCGCTGTCTCTTACAGAAAGAAGACATTCGATAAATGAGGACCTTGTCTGAAACCTCGGAGAGATCCTGTCGGGGTAAACACAGCCGTATAAGTTTCAAAGGCACACCAAATTGAGACAGAGCGGCGTAGAGGCAACTCCTTTCCTGCTCCCGAAAGACGCTTTAAAATTGACCAAGAGGTGAATAGATTTTTTAAGATTTGGCACATGGTGCTGTCCGGATTAGCCATAGAAAGGCAGCGTAGGGATACGCCTGCCAAAAATTTGACTAGTATTTAGGGTTTTCTGAAGGCCCCTTAAAGAGGAAAATTTTGAAATTCTCGAAACATAATGTGCCTTAATCTAACTGAATTGCGATGCTTCTTAAACAACGTAAAAAGCTCGTAAAACCCCTTAGAAGAAGAAATGCAGTAGGAAACTCATAGCTATTCTCTGCTCCTTTCTCACCGTACACGTAAATTCGCACATATGTATGTATGTATTCATGAATGTATGTACATTCACCAATTCAACTCATACTAATTTTAGTTTTTGTTCTTCACTGTATTATTGGCGTAGATGACGAGTTGGAGCGGTAGCAGCTTTTACGAGCTTCATACGAGCGGAGCGTATTACTGGTTACTGAGTTTTGTTGGTGACAAGGCTTTTAGTGTCATTTGCCGTTGAACACACACGTATGCACACACAATACAGACTAATCACAGCAAACTTTTTCTTATTCATTATGACAACTGGAGTCACATTGGCCATCAAATATCTAACTACGACGAAAATGGTCCTTTCCTATCATCTAAAAAAGTGGTCTATAATGTTCTCAAATTACGAGACACAGAGCATTGTCCTCTTTCTTAGCCCAAAACCAAATGGTCGCTTTAAATACCGATACTCAGTTCTTTTATATTGAGCGGTTGTTCTGCACCATCACCAAACTAGAACGCAAGTCGGGTTTGCATCTTTCTGACATCGAGAATACCCATTTGGTTATGGTACCTCCGATACGGCGACGAACAAATTGCTCAATGGGTTTATTCGTGTTAAAATCTTGTTCTGCAATCATATTTTTAGGTCTCACAAAGTCGTGCAGCTCTAGCTTTTTGTTGGAGACTCCGTCGTGTAGTCTGAATTTTCCAACTGTTGCGCTTTATTGTTGTTGCCTTTTTCGGCTTTGACATCCCCATTTTCATCTGTCAGCGCTTGGACACAAAGCAATTATAATTTGGAGAATCGCAGTCCTTATTGCTACCAGTTCAACACCATATTTGTAATTCTTTTATGGCGTTACGGTGTTAAGACTTACATACGAGTATTTGCTTTCTCGATCCACATCTCTTTCTTAGATGGTGGTAAAGTCACTCTTACTATTTCTCAGCAATTCTTGTGCAAGCCGCGACAAACAAGCCATGTGGGGCTCAAAGAGAGGAAGCTTCAGAGGGGCCACTCCGACATTTTCGCTGAAGTCTAGTCTGCTGAACAGCAAGCGGGACCCGCCACCTATAAACCAGCTCCCGTGAAAGGGTTAAAGCAGCCACAGATGGACAAATAATAACTTTAAAAAAAAGCATTTTCCAAATTAAGGACAAATTTTATTATTAAGTGATAAGAATTGGGGAAACTCGAATTAAGATTTCAGAATTCATCACACGTCACACGTATCTTATGTTCGCTGGGAAGAAACGTAGTAATCTTCTTTCCATGTAAGCGCGTATTGCTCATGTGATAATTGAATTAGAATGGCAAGAAGGACGAATTAAACCAAAAGGAGCTCAGAGTACACTGGCGTCTCTTCAAGTGCCAACAGCAGAGTAAAGGGAATGTCCGCTCCCTGCGAAGGGCCATGCAAGCTTGTAGTATGAAAAACTTATGTGGCCAAACAGCAAAAGCACATTTACATGCAAATATCTTAAACATACATATATGTATGTATGCATGTACGTATGTATGTGTAGACAACTAAGAATTATTATCCTTTTAACAAATCCTACACGCATTTGAAATACACACACACTGACACACACACGCACCCCACTTGCTTGCTCATAGATCTCAATTATTTCTCAAGGAATGAATTGCCAATTTCACTCCAACAAACACACACACTCACATGCAATACAATATCACATGTAATGCGTAGATATGTAAATGTAATATGAAAGCTTTTAAACTTGACTAAAGTGAAATGTGTGGCTTTCATCCGTTCCCGGAGAGTCTGAGGAGTGACGGAGTTTACGCATTACATTTACATTTGAATTTCCAGCTAATTTACTGAGTTGCCCAACAAATAGCTCGGCGGTGAGCTTGTGCAGGCGGCCCAAGTGCTACCAAAGTGCCAAAATGTTGAATTCTTGCCTTCTCCAACGAAAACATAGCCATTTACGGAGAATTATTGAAAATAAAATTAGCAGTTTTGGAGTCAGTTTCGGAACCGGTTTTGGTGGTTTGGGTGAAATGAAGTTTTACGACACTTTGCTAATTACATGTGTGGCAATCGAAGAGAGGATGGGGTATATATATATATATATATATAGATTTTTTACATATTTACATATAATAATATTTCATATTTGTTGGTGTTATGCTAATTAATCCACCCCAACTATTCTGTCGAGGAAAAAGTTTAGAAAATGTGTATGTGTATGTGTGTGTCATCCTTTGAATTTCAAGCGAAATTGAAACGGTAAACAAGTAAATTATTCTCGTTTTTTGTTTAGTTCGTTAAGTAACTTTTGAATTGTTTATAATAAATGGTTGCGCAAATATTTTTGTGGTCGGAGTTGGCAATAATCACATTTGCAGCTTTGTCTTTTTTGAGGAGATACAACAACGCATTGATTAACTTTATTCACACAAAGAGTGGACTATAGCTCATGGATATCGATTGCCTCGGAAATTTGACAGATTTGCTTTATTTTCGAATAAAAACTCGTACCCTCGTACGCTGCGTTGAAAAGGATACAAATTCTTCTGGCTTACGATCTCACCCCGGAAAATTTGATGGCGTTGACATCAATTCCTTAAGAATCGTGTCGGGAGTTTTGCTTTCTGCAGACTGGATAAAAAAAGTGATGTGAATAGGTTTGGCAGTAAAAGTGGGCAATACGAAAAATCACTCGCAGAATCACTCTTTCCAACAGGAGCTACTTTGAACCGAGTATGCAACTAAAAAGTAAAGTCTCCTCTCGGCGAACGAACTCCACTCTCCAAGTCGCTCATCGTTCCCAAGAACCAAAGTCACGCCCATTGCTCTTTAGGAAGAAGGCAACTGAAGGCCTTTAACAGCGCGACTTTGTTTTTAAGATAACTGAATAAGGATTTTTGAGCTTGAGTTTTTATCTCAAGTCAGAAACACATTAGGAAGTGAATTTTTTTTTAATATTTTGAATGTTGGTCTGGCGTGGGCCTCAACTCATGACGCTCCTTTAGGTACTGGTCATTACTCGGATTTTACGCTAGCCGACCGTTTCAGCGGCTCTAAAGCTGAGTTGGAAAGGGACTGTTCTTACATAACAAATGCAAAATCTCAATAAATCCAGCTTCATCGTTTCAAGCGACCACCAAGCTTCCAGCTGTATTAACTTTCCAGCCAACATATTTACAATTATGTATGTAAATCTACATAAAATATATACATATATATATAATATAGAGTAAATTTCACTAAAGACCTCGGACAGTTGGCCTATGAACCGCTTGGTTTGGTTAATTTAACAAAAAAGGTTTTATGATTTAATTAGACACCCATGAAAACGACTCACACATACAAACAAGCGTTCATATGCACGTATGTTTGGATGTGTGTAACAAAGGTTTTACAAATGTGCATATGTAATGAAGACCATATGACCATACGACCATATTTAAATTATTTCT